CTAGCCATCCCAATCCACCTAACCAACCTCCACCACTCTACAAAAACACTTCACAGGTGTTTGCTTGTGTCGTTTATGTTTGTATTGTCATTTCCTGTTGTGTTGTGTAGTAACCCTCTCTCTATATTAATAAAAGTTTGTTTTGCATGTTGCCGCTATTTTTCTAACTAGTTCTGGTATAATCAAGTTTATCAATGATCTATGACAAATAAAATAAATAATGATAATTATTTAATCTAATCAATTACTACTACAAATATAGAGAACTAACGAAGTTAAATATGGACACTTAGAAAGAATTGTTATTAAAGTAAAAAGATATCATCTATCCTTATGATTATAAAAGGATGCTAATAAGTTAGATGAGGATCTAGTTGTAGGAGAGTTAAAAATTGCAAGGTAGGGTAGACAAGGCGTAAGTTGGAGTCGACCACCATGAACAATTAGCCATGATCATCATGTAGATTTTATCCCCTCCTCAGAAGTCCTCCAAGGTTTTGCACTTAAAAAAAGTGAGATTTAATTCATGAGACCATGTCATTAAAAATATGGAACTAGGAGTTAGGGTTCCAACATAATCAATAATTACCAAAACTTATTTGGTTAATTGATATTTCAGTAAGTTATAAATAATTAATATTTTCATAATAACAAATTTCAATATATTTATTAATTAAAATCCTAATCAATCATAGCAATTACTGATTACTAAGATTAATTAAATGATCAAATGATTATCCTTTGGTTGATTACAATAATTTAATATGAATATTAATTAACCAAAGTAAACAGTTAAATATTGCTTCCTCTAATAAATTATTATATTATTAATTATTCTAGTATTAGCCATCATAATTAATATTAACAGTGAAAATAATTACTGATTGAGAAAATGTTTGAGATGAGGTAATGTAGTGCTGCAAGACTATTTTCAAAATTAAGGGGGTCATTTGGGATCCCTTTTATTTTATATTTTATATTTTTTGTTTTTATTTTAAATAGGTTTCCGGGTTTACAGATATTTCCAAGAAAAACCAAAAAAAATATCAAGCACACTAGTTTTGACATGTCCTAAATATGCTAAATTTACTTTCATATTTAGTACTCATTTTTAGTATATTGCACTTTGATGGAAGATATTTTCATGTTTTTAGATACAGGTATAACAGGAGAAAAAACTGGATCGAATCAGATTGAAAACTGAGCGAAACATAGCAAATTGGCCTAAGGAGAAGATTTTTAATCTGATGCCTAAGCGCCATATCCTAGCGCCTAAACGCCAATATACAAATATCCTTTGAGTGTTGTAAGAATTGTTGTCAGATTGCAAGGAGAACACAGTTTGGAGGATTTTTTTTCTTCATTTCTCAAGAAAGGAGATAACTTCTTGTACTTTAATGTTTTGTAATAAGTATTACTTATAAATTTGTTGTGCTCTAACATAATATGTTGAGTATTGTAGTTTTATCCATGAAATCTGAGTTGCTTTCTTACTTCCTTTATTTTGAAATGTATTAGCAACATGTGTAGGGTTTATGTTACTTTATTCATTGTGATGGTAAATTACTTCATACTTCATTTACTTATGCAATTTGGTCAATTCATATGTTAAAACACATTGTGAAAACATAATGACCCGAGAGGACTATATTTTTCCTCAATTAGTAATTACCACAGTAATCTTTAGGATGAAGGAAAAGTAGTCCTGGGGTGAGTGCATATTAGA